GGAAGGAAGGAAGGAAGGAAGGAAGGAAGGAAGGAAGGAAGGAAGGAAGGAAGGAAGGAAGGAAGGAATGCTAGGTATGCCATTTTCCACTTCTGAAAGAAACAAACAAGATATCAATGTAACAATAAATAAATATTAGGGAGGGAGAGGGAGAAAAAGAAAGAAAGAAATTGGGTGTCTGCCGGGTTGAGTCAGAAATATAAAAATGGTAGCCACAACAATGCAATCAACCTGCCAGAAGCACAACAAATAACTGAAGTGTTAATTGCACTATCTTGAACAACCATCTTGACTTTTTTGACACACACACACCCAATTCCAGAATTTTGGAAAGTTTAAGGGAAAAATCCAACATTTTGGAAAGTTTAAAGTTTAAGTTTATTTGTGGATGCTCTTCCTTCCATTCCTTTTCAAGCCTCCCTACAATTACTCACATCTCAATGGAATGCCTTTAAGTGCAGTTTTGTTTTGGCCACTTCATAACTGCTCTGTTCCAAATAAATCAGGCCAGTAGGTCTCTTTCTTATTCCAGCTGGTGAAGTTTGTTTGTTTTTCTAATACTCAATCAAAGTTTCCCTTTAGGAACACAAGAACTTGAGCAATGTCCAGCTGCATCAGACCCATGACCTATCTAGAACAGCAGTCTGTTCTCTAAAAGGAACTGCCCAAGGAAATCTATTAGTCGTGCAGCAGAAGACTAAGTTTTCAGAGTCAGTCACATTACCATAAAGGCTAATAGTCATTGAGCACCATGATTTTCATAATTGGTCCAGCCCTTTTTTGAAGGCAGCCAAGTTGGTATCCAGCACATCTTGTGGTAGTCAAGTTCCAAAGTTCAATTAGACATTGTGTAAGCAAAAATTCCTTTCTGTAACTAAAGCCCATTATTCCATGTTCTGCACTCTGGAATGTTAAAAAAGAGTTCTTGGTGGTTTTTCTGCTGAGCATCCTTCAAGTATTTAAAAAAATAATATCATATGTTCCTGTCAGCTGTCTTTTCTCAAGACTAAAGATCCCCAGTTCCCTCAAACATTCCTTTTTAAGAGTTAGTTTCCAGGCTCCAGACCATCCTTTTCACATCTATTCCAACTTGTCTAAATTGATAAAACATATGAAGAACAGTTGCAGTAATTGGGTTTGTCTAATCTAGTGAAAAGAAGGATTAGGGGTGACATGATAGCAATGTTCCAACATTGGAGAGGCTATTAAAGAAGAGGGGGTCAACCTATTTTCCAAAGCACCAGATAGTAAGACAAGAAAGGATGGAAAACTAATCAAGGAGAAAACCAACCTAGAACTAAGGAGCAATTTCCTGATTATGAGAACAATAAATGAGTGGAATGGCTTGCCCTCAGAGGTTGTGGGGACTCCATCGTTGGAGGCTTTTAAGACATTTGTCTGAAATGGTATAGGGTCTCCTGCTTGAACAAAAGATTGGACTAGAAGACCTTCAAGGTCCCTTCCAACTCTGTGATTCTGATTTAAAGGATGCCATCCCAGAATTCGGTAGCAGCCAGTAGGATCTAGATAGGGTTTGGCCATAAAGTTGTCGACTTCACTTTCAAGATCCTTTTCACATGACCAATTCCCATGTGGATTTGATATCTTTCTCTTCTTTGTCTATGCTAAACCATACTTCTTTTCCCAAAGCTCCACCTCTGGAGACAATCTAATCTGTTGAAGGGTATGGAGTTCAGAATCTGTTCCATCCTATATTTAAGTATCATTGTCTTTTTTTAGGATTCATTAAACAGCTAGGATGTACAAAATGCAAGGAACACACTCTGCCCTTTAAGCATTGTTTAAAAGGCAGATTTAAATTTAGAATTCACTGATTCTTCATTTGACCTACGTTCTCCAAAGCACACCCAACCATCAAGATACATGCATTACAAATACCAAAAAATATGTAGCAGTGATGCTCATCCTCCACTTAATATAAGGTCAGTGCAAGGGTAAAGCATTGACATTTAAAACTGATGGGTCAATAACTCCTATGATCCACGTATTAAAACAATACCCTCATTAGAGCTAGGATCCAACTGGAAGTTAGGGGGAAGGAAGATGGACGGGGGCTACTCCTTTAGATAATTGCATAAGTCAATGTGATACAAAAGAAACTCAAGAGGCTTCAAGATTTAATGCACTACGCTTCACATAATATTGCAGATCTGAAAGACACAAATTATTGCATTAAAGTACAATTTAATTGGGAAAGGTTAGGATGTAATTGCTGCCTATCTTGCTTTAATCGGAACAGGCTTATGAATAGTTATTAAAAGAGACACTTCAGGTGAATTTTTAAAAGGGGCTGTAAAATAAACCCCTGAGATCCCAGTCGTTTATTCTGTATTTGTTGTTTTCTATTAGACTGCTTGTTGCTTTGAGGAAACCCCAGTTCTTAGAGATTCTGTCATTACTATTAAAGACAAATACTTTTCCTAGGAACCTAATATATTGTCCAGGCAATATCCCTGATCTTTAAAGCAGCCATCCAGAAAAACAGTTCTGTCCTAAAACCAAATCTTAACTTTATCCCGAGTTGCTGAAATGAATGAACCGATACACAAACTTCTCATCTAATTTAGTTTGGTAGCCCAAAAACAAGGTATTTGATACCTAAAATCAGGCACAACAACATGACTTGCAACAGTTCATTTAATGACCGAAATTACAGTGGTACTGAAAAAAAGTGACATGACCATTTTTCACACTTATGGCCATTAGAGCATCCCTGCGGTTCCATAATCAAAATTCAGACGCTTGACAAGTGGTTCGTATTTATGACAGTTGCAGTACCGTGTGGGGGGGGGGGTCATGTCATCACTATTTGTGGCTTTATGACAAGCAAAGTCAATGGGGAAGCCAGAAGTGCTTTAACAACCATGTTACTAACATAATAACAGCACTGGTTCATTTAACAACTGTGGCAAGAAAAGTCGTAAACTGGGACAAAACTCACTTAACAAATGTCTCGCTTAGCAACAGGAATTTTGGGCTCAATTGTGGACACAAGTGAAGAATACTACCTGTATTCTTGGACAGCTTTATAGAAATACATTCCAAGTTTACACACAGATCAAACTTCCTAGGAAGCATACAGGAGTAGGAGGGGATATAACTCAAGGCAAGATATCTTGCCATTTTGAGCATCTTCAAAGAAGGACTGGAAAAAACTTTTGTCTGATGTCTACAAGAGTCATAACCCCTCCAGGTCAAATGGGACAATATTTTTCACTGCAATGTCAGCCATAAAAATGAATTGATGTTAATGGTCTCTGGCCTCATTCCTAGAGTCGTTTATCCCATTCCTTTATGGACACGTATCCTTTTTCCTTTTTTAGCTTTAACATCACACAAGTGCAATGACATCCACAGAGCTAAAAGACACAAAATAGCACAAATTGGTAGGCATGCTGGGGAGCAACAAGCCATGTTCAGAAGTCAGATGGAAACAATAGTTCGTTCACATTACCTATGACCATAATGAAAACAGGAAAATTGGTGGTGGAGGGGAAGATATAGGGAATGGCCAAGGATGTGAAGATGGTGAAAGGACTAGAATTTTCTCCCCCATCTCATCCCACTCTTGTTAATTTCTATTATGGAGCCAGAGACAGTCTAATTTGAAAAAAAAAAACCTGCTATCTATCAGGCTCAGCTAAGCCTCCTTCAAGAAAACATTTGCTAATATTCTACTTCTGATCCTTCGTTATGAGATGGCAGAATTTTACAATTGTCCGGTTACAGTCCAGCACAACCAGTGATTCAAGAAAGTAGGAAATAGACGTCCTTTTAAAAACTACTTGTATATTATATCTGCATTCAAAGCACTAATAAAGATTGTCCAACTGATTTTGACCTCATTTGTCAAGTTTATACAATGGACAAGTATTTGGTATTCTTTCAAAATGGAGTTTAAGTATCATATATGACCAGGAGGTGAATCTGGAGTAGATCTCCCAGAATATAAAGGTGTTTTGGGTTTATAAAATTAAGTGGCCTTTTTCTAGAAAAAAATTAATCAAGGTTTGATAGCTATATTTGAAGAAAAAAGATTTCCAGGGGAAAATTAAAATATCCAGAACATGGAAGGTTGAAGAGAGGCAGAACTGCAATGGAAGTGAATCCTTGGGGTGTGAGTTGACAATGCAAGGCAACATGGGGAAAGTGGACAAAGATTGTAGTGTCGAAAAATGAGGCTCCAAATATTATCCCAACAGAGTGAAATCATGTCTTCTAATTCCTACTGTCAGCTTCAGGTGATCTGATATCCATCGCTTGTTTATTATTTATTATTTATTATTTGATTTGTCAATTGTTTACAAGATAATAAGTATAAGTGTATACATAGTTATGAATACATGAAATGGGTACATATAAGAAAAATAAAAGAAAAATAAAAGAAACAATAGGACAGGGACGGTAGGCACGTTGGTGCGCTTATGCAAGCCCCCTAGAGACCTCTTAGGAAAGAGGTGAGGTCAATAGTAGACAGTCTAAGGTTAAAGTTTTTGGGGTTTGGGGAAGAAACCACAGAGTCAGGTAGAGTATTCCAGACATTGACCACTCTGTTGCTGAAGTTGTATTTCCTGCAATCAAGTTTGGTGCGATTAACCTTGAGTTTGTATCTATTGTGTGCTCTTGCATTGTTATGGTTGAAGCTGAAGTATTCATTGACAGGTAGGACATTGCAATGTATGATTTTATATACCATGCTTAAATCAGACCAAAGACGGCGTTATTCAAGGTTTTAATCAATTAAATATTGGCTTCCCAAAGCTCTCCTAGCAAAAGATGGCAAGCATTGTGATTATATCAAATCTAGAGAGTCCCAGTTTGAAGAAGGCTCTGTTACAGGAGGGAAAAAAGAGGAGTAAGGGGTTTGTGGATAAACTGGACACCTTTACACCTTCATTATGAACATAAAAAAAGGCAATCATTTAAGATGGCAAGCAGAAGCCACTAATTCTAATACTGCTCATGATAAGCAAGTGATATATAGCCATTAGGATTACATATAGCTTTATTCTCTCCTCCATAAAATGTGTCTATTCCATTTTTAAAGTTAATGGAGTTGGCAGCTACCACTGTATTTTCTGAACCCAAATTCTCTAGTTTCACTATGCACTGCTCTTCCTTTGAATCATCCTCAATTTCCCCCTGCGTAATCTTGTATGATAACGACGAGAAAGAAGCATTTCTCTCTCCTCTCTCAAAAGCATGCAAAAGATTATTCACATCCATCTCTTCCTAGTTCACTCCACCTTTCCCGCTAATGTATGGGCTGCAGCAATTTCACCAAACCCTTTGGCAAAATAGGGCAATGGTCTGATGCAGCAGATCCTGGACAGTGTAAATGAGATGGAAAAGTATGTATGAGTATCACAGTTAAGACCCTACTCTCAAAGACAAGAGAATCATAAAATGCTGAAGCATTGATTGTATTTATTTATTAAATTTATATGTTAAGAGCAACTCCGGGCAGCTTCATAGAATTCTATGAATCATAGAAGTGGGACAAGAAAGCCATTGAGGTGAGCCTTCTGTTTAGTGCAGGAAATGAAATAAAATTCAACTGCAGCGTGACCAACAAGTTTATAATGGAATTTTAGTGAGTGCCATTTCTCTTCCTTTGCCTCAGGCAACACACTATATTGAATCAGTTCCGCATTCCTGCTGCCCTTTTCTGGACCTTCTCAATGTGTGCTAAGCCATCTAGCATCATTATTTAACAGCAACGTTCTCTCCAGGTTCTTAGAGGAAGGAGGGGATACAATATCACAAATATTGCTTTCACTTGCCTTGTTCCATAATTTCCAGGAGGCCTTTCTTAATTAGCTCGTCCCGGCTTTGCCTTGTGGATGTCTTCTTCTCTAACACTGTAAAAAGGGGGGGTGGGGTGAGTATGATCAACATGGAACATCAGAGTTGACAGTCAATGGAAATGAATTGTCTAAGAAGACTGCATGAATGAATGAAGGATGTCCAGCTTGAAATATGGCATAGTGAATGGAAGATCACCAATAAAAGTATATTTTTTCCTCTGTTTTATGCAAACTCTATCAATGATTCCTAATTTTTGTATTCCATTCTTCATCAAGCAGTTCAGGGGACTATTTCAATCATTTAGAGCTAGCAGTCATTCTTAAACCCGCATCTTTTCAAAAAAATTTGGATAGTACCACGTACAACCAGCATGTCAACATTGGCTGAAGGGAGTGGCAATTACATTGAAGCAAGTCAGGTCAGGAAAGTCTGAGTTAGGATACAAGTCCAGTTTTTCCCAGTTGACTTTAAACATTACACCAAACTGGTTGTATTAATCAGGTCAGATATTTTGCTTTCTGTAATCAAATTGAACCCACACTTTTTTCCTAATCCTCCATGGGCATCAAATCACATCTCTAAGGCTTTCAAGTCCCATTATTACACTCAAGGAGAAGACCTAAAGCAAGGTTGCATATATATTTTTTTCTGGGCCAAGGACTGGTCTATGCCTGGAATAGACTAAAGACCCTGGTATACTAGGCCAAAATGTGGAGTAGAGGTAGGACAAAAATTAAATTTGATTTCATTTGCATTTAAATATAATTAAACTGAAATATAGTCACTGCAATTATTCCTCAATTATGGATTTAACCATTTTCTTCTTTTCTCACATTATTAATTACAGCTTGCTAACATATTTTATTTATTTATATCCCGTCTTTATTATTTTTACAAATAACTCAAGACAGAAAACATATCCAACATACCTTCCTCCTCCTATTTTCTCTACATCAACAATCCTGTGAGTTGGGCTGAAAGAGAATAACTGGCCCAGGAACACCCAGCTAGCTTCCATGGCTAAGGTGGGACTTGAACTCATAATTTCTTGATTTCTAGCTTAGTGCCTTAACCATTAGACCAAACTAAACCAAACTAGACCAAACCTTAACCACTAGACCCATTTTGAAATCTCTCAGGGCCATACCAAAGATTTTAGGGAATTAACAGATGCTCAAGTTGTCTATCTGTGTTCAGTGCCAGGTCAGGTGTCTATGGCACTCCTAGGCTACCTTGAGTGATAGTATCACATCCCACCAATGTAAAGATTGGCAGTTTTAGAATGATTCAGAAGGAGAGGCAGCATTGGTACCCCTGGCAAATAGCTACTTACCTTAGTCCAAAGTTGGCCCTTTTCGTGTCATCGTGGGAAATGCTTGGTTTATAGCTGAGCTAAAATAATTAATATATCATCTATTCCCAACCCATCACTAAAAACTATTCCAAATGGTTAAAACCCCACTCTGAGAGCACTGGTTTTCCCACCTCCTATCACAGTTTTTAGCTTGACCAAGAGATAATAGGATGACTCCAATTTCAAACAATGTATAGTGAGCATATAGTAAGCATGAGATTATATCATAGCACTGTGGGATTTCTAAAATGCAGAGTATCCCACAGTTG